TCACAAAATTCACACACTACACACTTGTTGTTCCAACATAATATGTAGGAAATTTAATTGCTTACATTATTATCTTAATTATTACAGTAAATAAATGAGATTCAAGGGACATAAGAACACCAATAATGAAAGAAATATAATTTCAGACATAAGTTTGTCAAAAATGGAAGAAAAACCCCAAAATGAATTTTTGTAAGTTAATCGATAATCAGAACCGTTAATTTAGTAAGTACATGATCAATAACTGATGACGCAGTGAAGAATTATATATTTTGTTGCAAAATATCTACATGGTAAGTATCTTGTAATCTTGGTTACTGGCAATGGCCATAAATTGAAACGATGCCTATTTGATACCGAGTTCGAATCCCATCCTAGCTTGATCACAACACTTTCCCCCCTTTTCTTAATATGAATTATATAATTATCTACATAAACTGGTAGTATCCCAAACTGGTAATGAAGGATGAAAATATAGTATCCCAAACTCTATATCCTATACACAAATGACACTTTTTTAGTAACAATTTTATTATTACAAATATAATTCGTAAACACGTGGTACTATTTAGCAATAAGTGACAGTAATTGTGTGCAACCCATCGTGATTTGATTTAAACTCTCAATCATTTGACTTAAACTATCAAATGTATAAATTAAACTTTACAACACTAGAATCTAATTCTCAATATTTCAATTTGGACGTTTATAATTGAAATGGCAAAGCAATGTTGAATGTCATTAGGTATAACGATTATTGATTAAATCATGCTACCTGTACCTAAATAATCTTCGTATCAGGGAAAACCATAATTTCACAAAATCAAACATTTATAATACCACGATTGTTGATTGGGGAAACAAGTTGTAGAAACATGAGTGTATTTTTATAATAAACGGGAATTATTGTTTGTATTCAAAAGGAATTTGTGTCCAACCCTCAACTATTTGATTTTAACCATCCAGTAATTTATTTTAACCAATTTAACCCTTTACCCTGTAACTTTTGTATCTTCATTCGGATGACAATAGTTATGTTACTACGAAGTAGACGAAGTGACCTTGTTGATGGATTTGCATGCCACTTAAGGTTATAAAAGATTGACATAATTTCACCTTTTTTTATTAACAAAAAAAAAAAAAAAGCACAAGGGTTTCATTGGGTTAGAGACATATAAGCAATAATCTTAAACTTCCTATGGAATTGGATATTAGCTAAAAATAAATTAAATCAAATAGTAATTAATGATTAGATAGTTATCAGTGCAATTACTCAAAACAATCAAAGGTATTAAATTGTGAATCGATTAAATGATGGTCCCAGTTGGTTTTTAGCTATCGAGATTACAATAATCGTTCTGGCTTCTCATAGACACGTATGAATGAGATCATAAAAGTAAGACTTCAACAAAGTAGTTGAGATTTTTTTTTTTTTTTAAAGTATAAAGTGTTAGATTATGTAAAAAACAAAAAAAAAAAGAATATAAATGACAAGTTTAACACTTATTATTATTATTATTATTATTAGCATAATAATCTATATTGTATACTAAAGAAATCACCAGAGGTGATCCAAAAGTACATGTGTTGCGTTCACGTGCACAATAAATAAATTCCCGCCTAAAAGTTTTTTTTTCCTTAAAAAATAATATGATAAAAAAAATGAATACAATTTTACAATTAAAATATTTTATTTTTACTTGTTGCATTACACGTGGCTTATTTTGGTAACTTTAAAGGTTCTTTAGTGATAACTAGAAGTGTTACTTCGGGTGTTCAAATCGAATTCGATAATGTACAACACTACTTGATAATTGTATCTAACACCTATTTATTTTTATACAGTTACTTTATATGTAATAAAATTATAGTCTGTACTTTTTTAGTATGTTTGAAATTTTCGTAGTAATCATAACAACTAATTACTGACACGATCACAAACTATTGTAAGGTTAAAATTGTCCAACTTCATATCATTTTCGAAAATATATCAATATGGATGCCTATAGAAAAATCATTAAAACATAGTTTCATTGATTTTTTATAATAATTTTTTGATTTGTAGTTTGTAAAATATCGTCAAATCTAATATATCACATCACTAATATATAAAGTCAGTCTCGCAGCCAGGCCACGAGACAGTGGTACTTGGCATTCCAGTTTTTCGCCAAGTGTCGCGCCACATAGGCGAAAAATAGATATTATTGTGACACATATGATGCTAAGTAAGTGAATTTTGGATAGTTTTTTTAAGATAAAAATATTGTATAGAGTTTTATTATCATTATACTTCTAATACTTTATATATACAAAATAATACTTTATATATACAAAATAATACTTTATATATATACAAAATTAATCATAACTTTTAATAAACATCATATGAATCGATTCTATTTTCGTCATAAAATTCGTTTTAAAAAGTTCTTTAAAATAAGATCCATTTATAATATATTTAAAATAATAGAGAATTAGTAAAAATAAGTTTTAATTAAATAAGTGATATGACATCATATGTCTAAATACCTACATTATCAAAAGGGATGTAAGACCATATTTAACATTTAAGTAAAAAAGTTTATACTGATATTTTATCAACAATCTGGCCCGGATACAAAACTAGATACCTTGTAGTAAAAATAATTTAAATTTGGTAAAAATACTTTCACTTCAATAAAAATAATTTAAATTTAATAAAAATAATTTCAAGTCAATAATAACATAGATATCTATTTACAAACAAAACTACAAAAAGTACACTATTCTATAAATAAACTATATGATATCGTATGTCTAAATATCATGCATTATCAAAAGAAATTTTAGGACCGTATTTAACATTCAAGCCAAAAAGTTTATTCTAAAATTTTACCAACAATATGGGCATCGTCTGGACACAAAACTAGTATATATATAAAGGGGAGTTTTTTCCCGAGTTTTTAGAGAGCCACGTAGGATTAAATTTTATTAACGCGCCATGTAGGATTATAAATTTTAGTTATAGCCAATCAAATAAGAGATTTGTAATTTCTTTTAGAATTAAATAATTCAAATGTCACATAAGCAAAATTGGCGAATGAGATTTTAAAGTTTAAATTAATTAAATTTAAAATATTATCTTTTGAGATTAGGATTTTTATCTATGTACAACGAATAAAATGTCAAAATTTTCCTCCCAAAAAAAAAAATCAAATTTTATCACATAAATACAAAAATGTTTGTTTTAAAAAATGCAAATAAACCGTGCATCGCACAGGCTTCATCTAGTGAAGTATTATTCGGTTCTCATAATAAACATTTATCTTCATTAATGAAGCTGACTAGGACGCTGTTATCTCTAATTACAAAATTATATCTATTAGTAACGTAACATATTTTTTTTGGAACAAGATTGTTTATTTGGTGCCAACGAAATCCATGTCGCCTATATTTGATAAATGGCGCCATGAACCATTTTTTTTTCCCACCCAATTTTTCCTCTCAGTTTTTTAGCATAATGATGAGTTGTCAATTTTTCATTGGTGTTGTACGTTTGGCCCACATACAACAATTGTATTTATATCACCTCCCAGTGTTAATTTAAAAATAATTATTAAAAATTTTCGTGTATGACACGTGATCTAACCTAGTAATATTATATACAAATATACCATTATACCAAAATCACACAAACTTTTTTTTTTCTTCGAGGGAAAAATCATTCTATATTGCAATCATTTATGTCCCAATTGTCTCGATAAAAATTTGATCGGTTAATTGTTTAATGTGGTCATGTGGCACTTAAGGAAAGCTTGTGCTTAGTTTGGAATTATGTGTACATATTTTAATCATTTTGCTAAGACAATAGATTATCAACTATACAATGCGTATAATTTTAATTCAATAAAAATTAGTAACTTTAAAGAAGAAAAATAACAGAGAATTAGTTAAATAATTTCAGTTCAATATAATTAATTTCAGTTTTATAAAAATAATTTAAATTCATCCTTTTATTCTCTTTGAATTTTTTTTATCTCATACAAAGTGCAAAGAATTTCAAATAAAAAGAACAAAAAAGATATGAGGATTAAAAATTAATATACCAACGAACAATTTTTCTACTATTGTTACTAGACAATACTTAATCTTTTTTTTTTTTTTTTTAAGACAAAGACAATACTTGATCTAGTATTGATTACTATATTTTAAGACCTGAAATTGTAGTAATAATCCCTATTAGAAACACTTTGAAGCAGGAAATTGAATTTTCTTATATCTTTCCCTCTTACTCCCAAAGGATGTTGGCTATTAGTTAAGGATGTGTAGATTTGTGTGAGATTTTGTCCCAAAATAAAGGATACATTTTCCTTGCCTTTACAGAAAAAAAAAATTAAAATTTGTATCTACGATAATACAAGTACCTGTACAAAGAGTGAAGTCTAAACAAAATAAAGGTCCAACATTCCATTTCAATAAGACTAGAAAAAAAAAAAATAGAATATTGAGAAAATTCAAATTTATCAACTATATATACTAGATAAACAGATAATGCAAATTGAATGCTCGCCATCATACTATATTCGTAGTAAAATCAATAAATGTGTGATCCAAATTTAATGAAAAGTCACTAAATAACAACCACAAAACCACTTAATTTATATTTATCTCATTAATAAAATGAGGCTTGCTCTAGAATAACAAGGAAAAAAAAAATAACAAGGAAATAATGAAGAAAGAAAAAAAAAAAATTTACACTCCACATTTCCACATTTAACCAGGTACAAATATAAACCTGCCCTTTCCTTCCCCTCTATATTCCTCTTCCTTACACCAAGACAAATCCCCTTTTTTAATCTCTCTAAAATTCATACTTCACTCATCAACATTTTTTCTTTTTTCATTACACATTTATTGAAATTAACCAAATAAAAGGTAAGCTTATTTATATTAATCAATATCAATATCAATTTTCATATATACAATAATCCATTCTTATTGAGACTAACTTCCCAAAATCATAATCAAACTACTTGACTAAACCTTCCTTTTAGTTTACCTGAAATAGATCAAAAACAGCAGTAACTTTATGCATTAATGTTGATAATCAACAACTTTTTATTTACTTTATTTTATATTTTCAATATTTATCCTGAAAAAAGATTTGATCTTGTGCAGAGACAGAAGCCCATAAAAGGTGGAGGAGAGAGAAAATGTATAATCAGAATGAATCTGCTGCTTGCTTTGACCCCAACAACAACCCTGATGACCAACCTGCTTCTGCTGCAATTGCTGCTGCTGCAATTAATGGGTTTTCATCCTATGAGACAAAGACAAAGACTGTCACAACAATTCTGCAAGAATCAGATTTCCAAAACCCTAATAATAATCTTTGTAGTCATTCTCATTATGATCCCAATACTACTTGGGACCATAATTCTGAAATGGGTTTTACCAATTTTGTTGAAAACATACACCACCCTACTACAACTGATCTTCTTACACTTCTCCACTTACCCATTTCCTCTTTTGCTACTGCTCCCTCCTCCTTTGGGATTGGGAAGCTGCCATCGTCGCCACCACCGCCTTCGGCTTTCGGGTTTTTAGGGGAGTTTAACCCGGCTATGATGGTTGATTACCCGGTACATGCCGCCGGGTCTGGATCTTCTTATGATCCTAATTTGTTCCCTCAAAATTCTGCTTTTATGATGAGGGATCAGCTTTTGTTTCATCCTAATCATGAGTATAGTACTGGGAATCTGAATGGGATTGATGGGGTTTACCAAGAAGAGGATACCCAGTTTCTTGGGAATGGGATTCTTGAGTTTAGGAAAGGGAAAGGGAAAGTGGGTAACAATAATAAGAGCCCTAAGAATTCTGCTACTGAGAAACAAAGGAGGAGAAACTTCAATGACAAGTATGACTATCTCAGCAAACTCATTCCCAATCAAACCAAGGTATAGTATGCTTATTATAATTATGGTTGAAATTTTTACTATTCTTTTTTCTGGATTTAATAGTCACGTAATTATTCGTTTAGGTTACACTATCTATATAACTAGGAAGATTTGTGTAAAAGAACCTTTTTAAGTGGTCGATTTTGTTTATAAGAAATTTCAAGTTAAAAGTTGTGAAAAAGGATCTTTTAAGTTATATTATATTGTGATCAGAGGTTATTAGGCTGGGTTTTGCAAATGATCAACAGCGGAGCTCCGACGTATTCTCACGTGGGAGTCAAGTGACTTCTAAAAAAAAAGCCCACATGTTTTTTTCTCCTTTTCTCCCAAATTTCCCTCATTTTAGAACTACCCTTTCCTTTATCCCCCTTTCATACTTCCTAAAAATACGTGTGGGTTTTTTTTTAAAAGTCACGTGACTTCCATGTGAGAGTCAACGCCGGAGCTCCGCTGTTGTCCATCTGGAAAACTCAGCCTATTACCCCCTCACAACATAATACCACTTAAAAGGTCTTTTTTTCAAAAAAAAAATCACTTAAAAAGTCTTTTTAAACAAAATCGATGACTTAAAAGGTTCTTTTATATAAATTTTCTATATAACTATTATATTATGAAGGAGCTAATCATTTTATACGCCTAATCATCCATCCCGATTTAGTAGTGTAATTACTCGTTCAAACATAACTATTATTATTTCAGAAAAGAAAGAATTTTTTTTTTCTTCATGTGGGTAATTCGTTCAAGTATACATGACTATTATTTCCGAAAGGAGGGAGTCAATTTTATTTTTATTTTTATTTTATTTTATTTTGCACATTAACTGTTTGTTGAAATGCATGAATGTAGACTGATAGGGCATCAATAGTACTGGATGCAATAAACCACATACATGAACTGAGAAGGACAGTGGGAGAGCTCAAAATCCTGGTTGATAAGAAAAGAATTTCCAAAATGAAAAGGCACAAAACTCACGAGGATACCAATACCAACATCCCTGTTGGTGGGGACCAACACGGCACCGGTGTCGATGGAGTGGCTGTCGTGAAACCCGAACCGGAGGAGGATTTGAACGTGTCGACAGCCATCCAACTCCGAAGCTCGTGGATTCAGAGAAAGTGGAAGGACTCAGAAGTCGACGTTCGAATTGTTGATGATGATGTTACCATTAAGCTAGTGCAGCGAAAGAAGATCAACTGTTTACTGTCTGTGTCTAGGACTCTTGATGAGCTTCAGTTGGATTTACGCCATGTTGCTGGAGGCGAAGTTGGGGACTATTACAGTTATCTGTTTAACACTAAGGTGAATAGGCCATGAATTTTGTTTTAATTATGGGTTTAATTACTTGTTTATTGTGGTTAATTGTTTGTGTTTTTTTGGTTAATTTTTGTTGTAGATTTGTGAAGGGTCATCAGTGTATGCAAGTGCAATTGCTAATAAGCTGATAGAAGTTGTGGAGAGAGAGTCTGGTGCTGCTTCTGTTGTTGATTAAGGAGTGATTAAGATATTAACAACAGTAATTGCTATGCTAATCTACTTATTTAACCAACTTAATTGCTCTTTTGTTGCCTATATAGTATTTCTACCAACAACAGTATTCTATAAATTAGTAGTGTTTAATTAATTTTGTTAGATGCTACGGAGTACTTAGTAGTGTTTTGTTAATCTAATTTGATGCTACTTAACTTAATGGTTGAATATATAAGGAAGATAACGTCTATTAAATAGTTTAATGCTCTCTCTCTCTTCATACCTCCTTAGCTTTGTCTCACCTCGAATACCCATGAACTCGACTTTTTGATACTGGTATAGACTCTTTGGCACTTCATTATGGGTTAAAACTTGAAAAAATTGTTCATAAAATTGTCTAATCAAATACTTGGATAATTTCACATTAACATATGTATATTCAAATTCAAGTAAGTTTGCTATCGAGTAAGCACAAGCTGTTCTACACGCAAATTCTCATTAAATAACTAATGTGTTGACCCAAACATTGCTCTTGGATATTGCTTAGAGTTTTTTTTTTATTTTATTATTATTTTTGTTAATAAAGTGTTTGAATTTTTTTAGTATTAATTAATAATTTAGAATATAATGTTAAAATACTGAAAAGAATTGAAAGAGTAATATGAGTTTCATTTGTTTTTAGTTTGGCTGTTTTTTTTTTTCTACATTTATATACATTTATGTGGATGAATGGAGCATAATTTATTGCTAGTTAAGATGGCAAGTCGTGTGGCATTCATTCCATGAGGTTAGGGGTTCAAACCTCTTTCTATGCATTCTTCAGTTAACATTGCCATAAAATATTGAATCGTAATGTGGCACAATGCCATTGATTATTGAGTGGTGACATGACGCACGTGGTACATAAACCTTTAGTATGGGCCACCTTGCCCAATACCAAGTGACGTCAGCCTTTATATTTTTTTTAAAGGGTAAATAACAGTATTTAATAAACTAATAACAATACTTGGTAATTAAGTTAATAACATCACCTTACTTTAAAATAACAGTTTTTAATAATATACTAATTATAATTCGACTTGATAATCACTTATATGACTTTTATTGGTACTAGTTATCACTACTTTACTACTTATATCTTAAACAAATTAGTGTTTATATTTAATAGTCCACCATGCTTCGCAAATTAAATGTTTTACTTAGAGAGTTTTAACCAATACCTGAACTTAGTCCACAATGGAACCTCCGAAGTTTTGAGCTTCCGGCTTTACCAAGGTAGCTAACCCCAACCTCGTCTTCCTTAGATCAGGCACAACACATATCTAATTCGTTTCCTACCTTAGATCGTAGTCTCTACTCAAACAACCTCTATTGTATTTGTGATGGTACTTTTAAACATAAAAATAACTCATTTGAGATATAAGTTTCGAGAGGATAACGTTCCCTTTTATAAGGAAATTTTTATTTAATTTGAAAAGATTACAACACTCATATCTTACAAAACTAAATCAGAAAGTTTAAACAAACATGACAAGAAATAGAGTTTTTCTTTACTTTAAGAGAGATGGAGAACCAATCTGTCTCTTAAGGTGAGGATTTTCTCTAGAGAATTTTCTTATTTTCAGAAACGCTCTAGTCAACTCACTTCAAGCCTGCCTTCACTCTTTACCTAAGTCCCTTTGTATAGGGAAACTAAAGGTGCCTAGGCTTCCCATCCTAGCCCAGCAAATGGATCTCGTCCATTGCTTTTTACAAAGAAATACAAAACACTCATTTTAAAACGTGGCTACAGTGATGTGCATGATTACCGTTGTGGGGCTTAGGCCCTATTCTTTAGAGTTACTCTGCTCTACCCTGTTCTGCTCTACTCTACACTGCTCTGCTCTGCTGAAATCTGCTCTACTCTGCTTAAAACTAATAGTTAATAATAACGATAATAATACTTAAAATTTAATAAAAATAAAAATAAAAATAATAAATATTTACTAATAATAACTAATATTTATAGATAATAATAATTAATATTTAATAATACTAATAATTAATATTTTATATTAATAATAATAATAATTAATATATAATATTAATTGATTATAATAAATAATATTTAATGGTAATAATTAATGTTTATATTATTTAACACATTTTCTAATGTTGTAAAAAGAGTTTAAAAAATATAATAATAATAATAATAATAAATAATAATAATAATAATAATAATAATAATAATAATATTTAATGATAATAACGTGATTATAATAATAATACTAATAATAATGATGATGATGATGATGTTGATGATGATGATAATAATAATAATAATATTAAAACTAATAATGATAATTGTTTCGGGGTTTTTAGGATGTCCTGCGGGAGAGTTACAAAACCAAGACTAACCTCTAGACGCCTGTACCTGCAAAATAACGGAGACTCTTGTGGGTGGGAGTTCCGCCTCCGACGGTCAAGTTAGAACGTGTATGAGGAGTAAAGTGCGGAAAATAAAGGTCTCTCTTGGATTCCAAGAAAGTATCTACAATGAGTAATTGCTCAGTTCGAGGTGTCAGGTGTATGACTTTCTCTGATTGTGAGTTAATGTGAATGTGAATTAATTGTGTTCCCGAGGGGGAACATCTCCCATTGTTAGGTTTTCAGCAATTCTACACAATAAGAATTACTTAAAAATGGTGGAACAAAACCTAAGTAGTGTATAATTCAATCAAATTATACAATAATCAATACTAATCAAAGTATTACAATCCAAGCACTAAATAAACAATGTAATCAGAAATTACAAGGAAAATACTAATATGAAAGATACTAAAACTTGCCTCTACTCCAAGCCAATGAAATCAACAAGAACATGAGAATACTATGGACCACGTGAGTCTTCAATACCGGATACTTGTCTAAGGCGTGTAAACACTTTCCTAAAGTGATTATTCCCCCACCACGGTGCTTGGGTTGAAACTGAAAAATCACTTTGAGATACAATAGACAACACTACAATCTTTGCACTAAGATTTGTAGCAAGATGATCAAATTCTCAAAATTGACTTAATTGATAGAGATTTTTTATAAGAGATTACAAGTTTCTTAGAGAAAAGTGTGAAGAAAAGTGAAAATATTGGAGAGGAAAATCAGAGAGAGCAAAAATAAAACCCCCGTTATTCTTTTAATTTTGCAATTAAAAGAATAAACGAAACCGCAACTGCCAGGTGGTGTGGGCGCTCCACCAGGAGGCGCGGGCGCGCCCCAAGGAGGAGCGGGAGCGCCCCAAGGAGGAGCGGGCGCTCCTCACGAAAACTGCGTAATTTCCAAAGGAAGGCAGTGAGGGGCGTGGTTTAGGCGCGACCAGCAGCGCAGGCGTGCCAACCAGGACGCGCGGGCGCGCCACTTGCCGCGCGGGCGCGCCATCTCACCCTTCCAATTTGCCAATTACCAGAGAGGTGCGCGGTTTAGGCGTGCTCTCTGCGCGGCCGCGCCAAACTTGCGCGGCCGCACCAAACTTGCGCGGGCGCTCCTTCATGGTCGCGAGCGCGCAACCGTCAACACTCTAAATATCTAACAATCCTCCCCCATTTAGAGTGTTCCTTTCTAACATTCTCCACTTCTAACAATTAAGTTACATCTCATGCATCAATGCCAATGTCCCTTCAGATTGAATTGACACCTAGTACAACACACTTAACGATGATCATATTCCGTGATTTCCATATATATTGAATCACACGAATATATCCAACCATTCGAAGGTGAAGTACACACAAGACAAATCGAATTTATCATCACTTAACACTTTTAATGCCATGTGTCCGTATTTTTCATAAGTTCATCAAAGTCTATATGTCCATCTAGACTTTTTGAAGCGGCTAAATTTCGAACTTATATAGGTAGGTTCTCATATACGTAATAGTGCCCTTGTGATAAGACACCTTCATTTAGATCTTCTCAACTCTAAATCTTTGAGAACTTTAAATAGACGCTACCTTACACATCACAAGTAACATAGCAATGTGGGTCATCAAACATTGCTAACAAACAAAAAAAATGCAATTCAACCACATTGAATCTAAGACCTGATGTTTCTTAAAGTGTTAGATTGGGTTTCACAAATTCGTATTTTTGAACATAAACCCATTCCATTCAAAGAAAATATGATGGAATGCCTTGGCATTGCTTTAGTAAAGCAATCTGCCAAATTCAATTTCGTAGGAACATAGTCAAGACTTATGACCCCATCATTGATAAGCTCTTTCACTAGGCTATGCCTAAGTGAAATATGCCGAGACTTACCATTATACACTTGACTATATGCCTTTATTAAAGCTGAATTATAATCACAATAGATTGCCACCGGTGACATTGGCTTAGGTAATAAAGGCAACTCTAACATGAGATTTCTCAACCACTCAGCTTCCTTACTAGCTGAGGCAAGAGCAATAAACTCCGCTGCCAAAGTGGAATCGGCAATGCAAGTTTGTCTCTTGGAAGACCATGAAATGGCACCTCCCCCAAACATGAACACCCAACCACTTACAAAAGAGTCATCCTCTTTGTAAGTGATCCAGCTTGCATCAGAATATCCTTCTAAAACCGAAGGAAATCCACTATAAGACAAACCATAATCCAACGTACCCTTAAGGTACCTCAAGACCCTCCGAACTGCAAACCAATGTTGTGCACCCGGGTTACTAGTAAATCTACTAAGTTTTCCCATAGCCAATGCAATATCAGGTCTTGTACTTGTCATGGCATACATCAAGGATTCAATTATCCTTGAATATTCCAATTGGGAAACCGTTTTTCCCCGAATTCTTAACTAATTTAACATTAGGTTCCATGGGGGTGTTCACGGGACACTTATCAAACATATTAAACCGTTTGATCATTTTCTCAATGTAATGAGATTGACTTAGAATAAGTCTTCCATTTTCCCTAATTATCTTGATGCCCAAAATGACATCCGCCTCCCCCAAATCCTTCATCTGAAAAGATGAGGTTAAGAATTCCTTGGTCAATTCTACTTGTTGTAGACTTGTACCAAAGATAAGCATATCATCAACAAATAGACAAATGATGACACCATGACCTTTGTCATCAAATTTTCTATATATACACTTATCAGCTTGATTCACTTTGAATCCAAAGGACAAAATCGTGTCATCAAATTTTCGA